GAGAACTGACTCATCTACAGAGGCTCTCCAAATCTACCTCATGCATATGGTATCAGGAACCAAACTAGATCAGTTTCTCCGAGGATGGGTTGGAACAGGCAGCTTCACTCCTAATCAATGAACTTGCCATCAATAAAATCAAAGATATGAAAGAACAAAGCTATAAACCTCTAACAACGCAAAAAGAATAAAATCCTGTTCCATCCTACACAAACATGTCTGACAGTTCATTCCACATCCTCCCTTCTGTCCCAAACAGACAAGTTTGGGTTGGAACACATAGTAGTAAAGAAAGACTCCAAGAACAGCAAGAAGGCAAACTCCAATATGTAACCACTTTCCAAGTCTGGCTGTGCTGGATCTGATCATTAGTCCACTGACTGGAGCTTCACATGGCTGTCAACCACCATGTGGGTGCTGGAAATTGAACCCAGGTCCTCTGAAGAACAGTCAGTGCTCTTAGCCGCTGAGCCATCTCTCCAGCCCATCAACATTCCTCTCCATTTTTAGTACACAGAATCTTTTTTTTTCCCCCCAAACTTAACCAAAGTGACAGTAACTGATACAGTTTGACTATTTATAATTTTCCTTGCCTTTCTGGGATTTAGAAAAAGAATTTTAAACTGGTTTAAGGTGAGTAGCATAGAATACCCAGGACTATAATTCCAAGCACTTGGGAGGCAGAAGCAGGAGACTCTCAAGTACAAGGCCTGTTTGGGCTACAGAGTGAGCTCAAAATCAGCTTGGTAAGACCCTGAATCAAAATAAAAAACAAAAAAGGCCTGTGGTAGAGTGTGCAATGTGAGGTTTTGGATGCAATCTCCAGTAGCACTTGTTTCTTTAATGAAATAAAATTACTAAATCGGCAACTTTTCAAATTTGTAATGCATGTAATTACATATGTGATATTAATTCAGTGTGTGTGTGTGTGTGTGTGTGTGTGTGTGTGTGTGTGTGTATACCTGAGATGTCATACACTCTTAGTTGCTGATCATTCAGCAATGAATAGTCTCTCTCTGCTCTTATAGAGTATGATGTATTTGGTGAAAGGATATAGACAATAAGCAAATCAGTATTTAATAACAGAAAAAATGCGATAACTTCTTGAGAGTTTACTATGCACCAGGCACCATAACAAGCACTTTAAATGATAATAAATAATTGATCCTCCATCTCCATACAGCCTAAGATCAGGACTATTATTATTCTCATTTCAAAGATGAAGACAGGGAGAAAAAAAGAACTGAAGTAACTTGGTATCTTTTTGTTTATAGACATTGGAGATCATATGATAAACCAGTAAGGGTTGTGTTCACACAGCAGGCTAGAAATATGTCCCAAATACTGAAGCAGGACAACACAGGGCTGCCTGTGTTTCTCCATCCTACCCTCATTTCCAGCAGATACACCTTCTGTGTGCCAGATATTAAACTCATATCCTACTAGGAAGAGGACAACCAGATTTCTTGTCCTTGGTTTACACGTTAGGTGACTTACTTGAAATCCTAAACTATGTTCCTCTGTGCATGATTCTTTGATCAGATAAAAACCTTTGAGATTTATATCCCATTTTCTCCTCAGTCTAAATTACTTCCAAGTGACACACATTAGAGAGGTGCCTGGGAATATTTAAAAACAAACAAAACGCTGGGTGTGGTGGTACACGCCTTTAATCCCAGCACTTGGGAGGCAGAGGCAGGCGGATCTTTGTGAGTTCGAGGCCAGCCTGGTTCCAGGACAGCTGGGGCTACAGGGAGACCCTGTCTCAAAAAAAGACAAAACAAAACAAAACAAAACAAAACAAACAAACAAAAAACTCAGGTTCCTTAAAGGTTCAGTTCATAATGGCAGACGCATAAAAAAAAAAAAATCTTCAAATATAAGTGCTCAATTAGTACAAGGGCAACAAACCTAAATAAATGAGAGAAATGTCATTCCAGGTCATCAGGACATCCACCTGCATGTGCTTATGGATTTTATCTTCTTCCCTGAAGAAGGTATTTGCCACCTTCTATTTTAATGACACCTCCCTCCTAATGACACTACCCTCAGGAATCTATAACTTCAAGTGACTGCCAGTCTTAAATATTATGCATACCTCTTTTAGGAAGAGGGAGATGAGTTGCTGGACTTTGTTTTCCACTTCCTGTCTAGAGGGACCCGGCACCTCTCTCAGGGTAATCATTTTAGCCAGTTAACAACCTGTGCTTTACTAGGGGTTCCTGGAAAAGGAGGTGACATACAGATTTTACAAAATGGCAACTCTGTGCTCTGTTCCAGGCTACAAGAAGCAAACTTGTGGCCTAGAGAGAACTCTGAGGGATTCATCCATTGTTTTCCATGCCCCAAAGCCAGTGAAGTGGCTCCCAGTGAACACCATGAGTCAGTGCTCTGTCTATATGGGGTGAAATTTCCTGCTCTCACAGCTAATGTATTCCTTTCCTCTCTAAAGCAAAGGACACTCTTAAATACCAGGGTGTTCCCACTACCACAAATTTCAATATAATTTCCTTGTGGGAGCAACTGGCAACCAACACCATATGAAATCCATTCGTACTAATCTTAATTGGAAAAGAAGTGAGTGTTCAGTATTTATTCTCCATGGATACTGTAAAAATTAGAAGGCAGGAAGACATTCTGTTTAGAACTTGAATTTAAAAATTTAAAACTGAAGTTATTTTTCATACTTAAAATAAAATAGCTCCTAATTATTTTTCTAGAATCCTGAAGAACTGTATTGATTAAATCATTCCAAAATGTTCAGCTCCAAGTTCTATAATAAAAATGAAAAACTTAATGCTCATTTTAAACAGAATACTATTAACATAATAACTAGAGTTAACTTGCCTTGTAAGAAGAAAGCATTAAATATTTATGGATAACTTGCAGAATAAAAATTAATCATTCCTAAAAATAACAGTCTTGAAACTGAGCCATGTCTTTACCTGGGTTGTTCCCAGTAGCTGCCTTACGCTGTGAGGGAATGTGTCTAGGCAGCCGGGCAGGGGTTACAATGGTTTGCTTCTGGCCACAGCATATGTACTTTGTATGAGTACTTTTGCTTCCATATTTGGCATATAAAATCATCTAATCTAAATTGCAGTATCTTATCCAATTTCATTTCATATTACAACTTTCCCTTCAAGGCATTTCTCAGTGATACATACTTCCAAGTATGTGTGATCATAATGTGTAGTACATGAAAGTGCATAGTCAGGCAAATGAAAACAAAAAGTTAAGCCATCTAAGAACTACAAAATGCTGAGATGGGAAGAACCACAGAATTTACTCAATTCAGTCCCATTATTTCAAAGATGAGGAAATGCTAGCCTTAGTCTGTAAGGCATTATGAAAACCTTATAGTTTAAAATTCAGCTGTGTGGGGGCTGGGAGATGGTTCAGCTGGTAAATCGCTTGCCACACAAACATGAGGACATGAATTCAGATTTCTAGCACTCACATAAAAAGCTGGGCACTTTGGGATGAGCCTAAAATCCCACTGGGAGACAGAAACAGGAAGCTCTCTGGGGCTAGTCAAAATCAGTGAGCTCCATGTTCAGTGAAATATTTAGTCTTTGGTGGATAGTGAGGAAAACATCTACATTGATCTGTGGCCTTTACATGTGCACACATGCATACAAACAACACATATGTGTATGCATAGACACACACAAACACATATTTACATACAACCCACATTCAGCTATACAGTGTACCCAAATTACGCAAAACACTAATTTCCAAACGGCATTCCTCTGACCCTAGGGTTGATTAGGAAGAACTTGCAAATACCTTGGGATACAAATCACAGCTCAATTTGTGCACTTCACTTCTGGGATTCAGTAAAATGTTTCACTTGAAAAAGGAATGGCTATGAAGGCTCTTGATACTTGAGCCTACTATTAGGTTTCTATCTAGTCTAGACTTGAGTGTATTTTCATTCTAAAAATCCCTATAGTATTCTGGGTAGTAACTAGGCAATAATAGTTTTGGTACTGTGATCTTCAAAACATACAAAAGTCTCAAGAGAATAACGAGACTATGTCTGGGAGTGCATAAACCAATTTTTGTAATTAATTTCCAAATGCACCAATCCTGAAACCAACAAAACATCAGGGTAGTGTTCAAGGCAATGCAGGAATACTGTACTTAAAACAGACACCAGACACCTGGGGTGGCATGCTCACGCCCACTCCAGACCTGGAGCTGCTGAGCAGCCCTCACCGAACCCTGTTCTTTTCTCTACCTTAACAGAAAACCCTTCCTTATCCAATGCCAATCACATCTAAAGGAGGTGAATGATTCCATGTTTCGCCCAACAGGTATATCAATTTTGATTATCTAAATATATTGGAAGTGAGGGAAAACATCTCAAAATAGCATTTGGAGTATAGACCTGTTCATTGTAACAGATAAATATTACCTTCAAAAAGTTATTACTATAAAAACAACTATGTTTAAGGGCTGAGGTATACAGTGCAGATGCCTCATGTATATGAGGAGGCCCTGGGTTCCATCCTTAGCAACACTAAATTAATTCTTTAGATTTTATCTCCAATCAAAGATTACATTTTGTTAAAAATAACTCTTGGAGGATTCTTCTCATACTGGATTGGCTTAAACCTATAAGATACAAAGAAGTCTCGCGTGAACACATATTTCTGTAGTAGATTTCTAAAAAGTTTTTTCCAAAGGTAACAATTTCAAGTAATCTTTAAAACCATTTAGACTGAGTTTTTTAGGTCTATTTGGGTGACACAGTAAGATTTTCTCAAAACTCAGAACCAAACAAATAATGTGTGTGTGTGTGTGTGTGTGTGTGTGTGTGTACACACCTTACATTTTATTATAAAGCAATTTGAAATGTAAAGATTGAAAATATAAGAGAAGGAAATAGTCTTCCCATCTCTTAAAAGACACAGTATTTAAAATATTCGATCATAAATACTTGTTTTTATTATTGTGAACTTCTTTACAAAGATTCAAGTAAAAATACTTACAGTTACTTATCACTCCTCCAAGCGGATCACCTTTGAAGTCAAATTCAATATCCATATATTTGCCCTGTTGAAGAAAGACTTGGTGAATTTTTAAGTCCATCTCAAAGCAGTCTGTACTTCTTAAAGAACAGCACACCAACTCATTGTTATTCCTTTATTGAAATGCAATTAAGAAAGGCAGTTTCTATAACCATGATGCGCCTCCATAAATAATTCATACTACACATCCATTACCTAAAGCTCATCTCGCCTGTTGCTAATTTAAGAACATATCTTTGTGGAGGCACATGCAGTTAGTCTCTCTCTCTCTCTCTCAGAACAGATCTTTGCCATCATGTGTCTTTTCCATTTTACATGTTTCTCAAACTTTCTGAAGGATATGTGTTTTCAAATCAAGAACAAAAACTAAAGAAAATAAGCAATTTTTGCAGACAAACTGATTGAGAAGATAAATGATTTCATTTTGTAGGCAAAATGCTTTAAGCCATGGCCACAAACTCCAAGCATACTGGACAATGGGGGAAATGCAATATTCTGTGTTCCTGTCTAGTCAAATCAATATACAATGATGTGGTGTGACAAGCTCAGAATCAAAGACTACTTGCTCCATTGTGTAATTTTTGATGTAGACTGTATAGCAATAAATAACCCAAGTTCATATTACACTTAATGAAAGAATCTCAAAACACCTGACTTTAACAGTAGGCTTTTTAAAGAACTGGCCTATAACTGCCTAGTTAAACAGTACCAAGAACAACAGAATAACAAGGACAGCCGCTTCTTGTTTGGAAAAGGGTATGCTGATTTAATGAACAAACTCCTTCACATCGTTTCATGTCTTAATCTCAATCTTAGTCAGATAGACGGTTTATATACAATTCTCCCTAAGAATTACTTTAATTTTCAAAGTGACAGGGAGAGGAAACATGACCACATGGAACTTAGAAAATAACATAATTTGTGAGTTTTTAGTAGCTTATGCATGAAGAACTACCATCTCCTCTTCCACTGTCATCTGTCCTTTTAAGTTTCACTGATGCATTTAACAAATGTTTTCTCTAGGCTGAAACAGGCACAAGGAAAAGCAGGCACAGCCCTTGCCTGCAGGGAGCTTGCTACCTAGAGCAGAACTGAGATTAAAACAGGGCATTCTGGTGGAGAGTCCACCTACCCAGCTCACTGGTACATGCTGCTATGCGTAAAAAGTGGGGACAAGGGGAGAGCCGGAAGTCAGCTAAGCACAGTCTCTGAAGTGAGGCAGACAGGAAGTAAGAGAACAGGAAGAAGCAGGCATAAGAAGTAGTGTCCAGAAGTGAGAGAACAAGAAGTAGCGTCTATCCCATCTGCCAGGATACTGAGGGGGGACCTGAGGCTAGAAAACAAAATCAGCACATTGTGACTTTCAGGTATTCTCCTGACACAAACTACTGTCACTGAAGGCTCCTATGCAAGAATGTATGATCAGATTTGCCAGTTTACAAGGTCACCTGGCTAGTGTAGAATGTTCTAGGAAGGAGGAAGACCAGATGCAATGGCTATCAAGATGATCAGGTGGCTGCACTGATTAGGGGAGAATCACTGATGGCTTCAAGGAGGAGCAGCAAAAGATGAGCTACCTAAAGTCACTGGACAGTGAGGCCCTCTGTGATGGTGGGAAAACACAGGGCAAAGCAGCTACAGATGAGGGAAGAAAGGTAGACTCTGACAAGGGAGTTAGAGGTTGACTTTCCAGTTGGAGACAACTCTGACAGCAGTGGCTCAGGAGGCAACAGGATCCAGAAGGAGGGATGAATGGGCCAGGAATTGGAAATCTTCCAACATGACAGGTGTTATGCCTTGAATGTGAAATCTCGGTGTTTGAATATTTGGTGCCCAGAGGATGGCGCTGTTCTTGGAGGTTGTGAAAGCTTTTGGACATGGGGAATAACCAGGTGCAAAGCTGCAGAGGGAAGGTCAATTCCAGCTGCCATGGTAGATACTTCTCCTCAAACTGTGAGTCAAAGTAATCTTTCCTAAGTTGCTTTTGTCAGATATTTGGATGCAGTGACAAAATAACCAATATAGGTGTTTAGGGACCATGAATAGGTAAGGCACTGGCTGCAGGTTAATTCTGCTGGAGGGCCTGGATGATGGTAACAGTGACTTCTTTGAAGAGGTCACCTGAGACTGAATGACAGGAAACTTAAAGAGGGAAACGCTCCCCTTCACAATAGCTGCAAAAAAAATAAAATATCTCAGAATAAACCTGACCAAAGACATTAAAGAGCTCTACAATGAACATTTTAAATCTTTAAAGAAAGAGATTGAGGAAGACATCAGAAGATGGAAAGACATCTGAAGATGGAAGGAACTCCCATGCTCATGGATTGGAAGAATTAATATTGAGAAAATGACCATCCTACCAAAAGTCATTTATAGATTTAAGGCAATGCCAATCAAAATCCCCATGACATTTTTCACAGAATTGGAAAAAAAAACATCCTAAGATTCATATGGAAGCACAAAAGACCTCGGGAGCCAAAGCAACCCTGAGCACTAAGAGCAATGCCACGGGGATTACTACACCAGATTTAAACCTGTATTACAGAGCTATAGTCATAAAAACTACATGGTACTGGCACAAAAATAGACCCATAGATAAATGGAACAAAACTGAGGACCCAAATATGAGTCCTCCTGCTACTTCATGAGACACCTGCTATTTGACAAAGGGGCCAAGAACATTCATTGAAGGAAAGACAGCATGTTCAGCAAATGGTGCTGGCAAAACTGGATCTCCACCTATAGAAGAATGAAACTAAACCTCTATCTTTCACCCTGCACAAAAGTCAATTCCAAATGGATTAAAGCCTGAAACTCTGAAAACTGTTAGAAGAAAACATTGGGAAAAACCTATAAGATATAGGGATAGGAAAGGATTTTCTAAACCGGACATCAATTGCTCAGGAAACAAGGGCAAGAATCAACAAATGGGACCTCATTAAACTAAAACACTTCTGTACATCAAAGGAGGCAACCAGGGAAGTGAACAGAAAACCCACAG